TTTTTGCAAAACAACATGAATACATTCACTGATATGATCGTCAAAATTCAAGCCGTGCGGTAAAATCTCCGGAAACATCCGATTGCTCCCAAACCCGTGCGGTTATATCCCGGAAATGTCCGAAGGGGCTCGGATCTGCGGGACAAGCAACTCACGTGGTAAAGTAACGTTTTCCGCACACTAGATCGCTGTATAATTAGGCATTTTACAGAAGGGAGTAGAAGAAATAATTTGTGCTACAACCTATCTGTTAGTTAGGCTTCATGTCTCTTGGGTAGACTTCTTTAAATAAATAAATTAATAAATTGGAAAATTAATCTATAAATATTAACAACTTAGGTTGTGATCACAAGAATGCTTAAAAAGTAGTTCTGGCGTTAGTTGAGTTACTATTTAATTACCGTATCATTGCGTGGGGTGCAGGCAATAAAACCATAATCGGACCTTTGATTGTCACTCGAAAATACGTCTTGAAGGGGATGCCGCATATAAACAAGTTTTATTCTATCATGGATTTATTTAATGCTGCTCAGGTATTAGAAATTAATCAATTGTATTTAAAATCAGCTGTAAGGTCTGCCCAAATAAATAAGAAATACTTCCACAAAGCAAAACGAAATATCATGAGACATGCACAAAAATAACTACTGTATTATTCCAAATGCAAAACTGACTAAATGCGAAAAATATATTTTTCTACTCCCGTCTGTAAAATACCTAATTACCCATCGATCTAGTGTGCGGGAAGCGTCGCATTATCACGCCAGTTTCGTTTCCCACGAATCCGAGCCACTTCGGACATTTCCGGGATTTTACCGCACGGGTTTGGGAGCAATCGGATGTTTTCGGAGATATTTCCCACGCTTGGAATTTCGACGTTTCTCAATTCTGATAGTCATGTCAGTGAATGTATTCGTGTTTTGCGAAAATGTACGCAAAAACTAACGGTCGTAGAAAAAGTATAGTATGCAACACGTTCTGTAAACTTTTTAACTCACTCGTTTATTAAACACTCGCTCCGCTCGTGTCAAATAAACTCGTGAGTCAAATGCCGTTTACCGCACTTGTTCAATAATATACTATTTTTATACACTACCAACAATATTTTACATGTTACCCATTTCATATAATAAAAAGAAATTCAAGCGGTGTGTTTCTTTCCATTCTTTCTCTTATACTTTGTTTTTATCAATTTTCGGTATTATAAAAAGTATCAAGCTGCAGTTTACTATTAGCTAAAATTTTACAGTTGCATTTAAAATTTCGAAAAAAAGTAATACACGTGCAATAAAAAGATATCTAATCTTCGGCTACCACTTTATTTTATAAGAAAAGGGATAAACAAACACCAAAATAAATTAACTGAAGATTATGAGGAAAATTTTGCAATCGGATTACGGGGCTAATCGGTACGTCGCCAAAACTTTTAATCAAGGATTAAAAAGTATTTTCGCTCGCAATTGAACTTCGCTGACAATATTCTTGGGTTGCAAGAAACCTGAACGTGTTTTCGTCACATCATAGTTAGGGAGGATAATTAATATCAGCAACCGCAGCATTTAAATTCATGTCGTACAGCTACCCTTTTAATACGATCCCTGTCGATTTGCGAAGACCTTTTAGACATTCCCAACTCTGGCGCTAATAGCCTCTATTTCCCCCAGGCTAATGGCAGACGTCTATCTACATTAACTCGTAGATATTTCTTGTTTCCCAATTCCGGTGCGTTCCGGCAGCTTTCAGGTGAAAAACTGCGTAATATATACACACGCATATATGATTCACTCGGAAGCATAGCTAAGTGCAAAATTAGAGTTTCGAGGTATAGGAAAATAAACAATTATGCATTAATTTTTTTGCTTTTTGTTTGTTACTAGACTAATCAAAAGCGAAAGTTTTTGCAGTGCTTGTTTCTTTGGCTCCATCTTTGTCTCTTTTTCTTTTCCATCAAATCTTCATTGATTATTTTTGAAAAGAAAAATTTGGGACCTTTACTTTACTCGTTTTGTACATACAATTCAAATAGTTTAGAAATATTTAAAAGTGAGATGTGTACCTGGAAACTTATACTTTTTTACATTTGAAACATCCTGATCCTTAGTGGTATTATTAGGTGGGTGTTTTGCTTACTCATCTATGGTGCATTAATTCGTGTCTTGGAATTTTTATTAGGATCCACAGCTTCCGTGCCACGTCCTTTATTAACAATATTTATAGTCTGTCTCAATTTTCATCATGCTGGCTTCCGACGCACCTTCCCCAATAAAACTCATGTCATTACCTATTGTTATTGGGTAATGCTATTAACAAAATATTTATTCTTACTTGAGTGACAAGGCAGGGGTGGGGGGGGCAGGTATACTTGTCACGTCCACATCATTTGTCGCTTGATGGAAAACAGGTTGTGAAAAATGTGTATGAAACTTTAAAAGAAACCTGTCTACTTACAAAAACGCCAATATCGTCCATACGGGATATTATTTATAGTGGAGAATTGAAGCAAAGGAATAGACGTAGTGATCACCATATAGACAATAATGATCAGGACCTAATAAGAAGGAAAATATTTAATATAATAGTAATATTTAATTTGTTTTTATCAAAGCAAAATTGTTCCTATAGAAGAAGAAGAAACCACCCTCCATAGAGTGGTTTATAAAATACGATTTAAGTACCGCAAAATAGACGAACGGCCAATAGTAATGGAACATGGTTCGATACACACGACACTGTATCCAAAGAATGGGTTGATTCCTCTGTAAATTGTCAGACGAAAGCACCTTCAAATAAAGTACAACGCATCGCCATAATACACGCTGGGCCAGAACACGGATTCGTCCCAAACTACTTGCTGTTGCCTGCACAGGATATTAAAGATCTTAACTTGGATTATCCTGAGGATACACGTGTCGAACTTTTTGAAAATCGCTTTGGAAACAATCGTTAAGAAAATATCCCCAATAACAGTGTTATTCTCATGAATAACGCAAGCTACCACAGCCATCTGCTACGCAAAGCACCAGCCTCATCAAGTTCAGAAACTGAAACCCAGGAATGGAATGGAATGGAAGTCCTAAATTCATATGCAATTAAAAAATAGCATGTATGCGATAATTTGGGGCCTTTTAAACAGCCAATGCTTCTTGTATGAATTTGTTCTTCATTTGCTTTTTTTGGATGATAATAGCCTTGTATTATCAAAACATACAGGTTTTGGTTTTGGAAAACCCAATTTAATAGTAATTTAGTTATGTGGAGAAAGATCCTTTTGTTTTTCTTTATTTATTCAACTCCTGCATGAATATTCTGCATCAAATGATTCCAATGAACCGTTTTCAATAACATTTTGTACAAATGATATTAATATCCACCATTAAGATTTAAAAATACTAACAATAATCAAGATCAAGATTGTTGCAAATTTTTAGGGGTAATTCTGATATTATCGCTGTGTTGTTGTATTTAAGCAAAAAAAGATTAAAATACATAACATATTTTTGTGAATTTTGGCCATTTCTATTAAAAATACGCTTTGAAAAAAATAAATACGATGTTTTTTAAATAGTAAATTTGGAATGTGATATCAATGGTTAGTTTTCATGTCATCCATATATTTAGCACATAAACATTAAGGGCTTGACGGAATTCCTCTAAATAATATAATAATAAATACAATATAAACAATCGGCATACTTACGTTGTTATCAACGAAGGTTACTGAGCTCGGGAGCATGACGTCCGTCACGTGACCGGCCGCCATCTTTACACACGTGTCGGGCGTGGATAAAATGTACACACCATGTTCGATTGAAACGATAGGATCGATACTCGTTAAGGTTTTTTGCGTTTTTCCAATAAGCCGCACCTAGTTTCGCTTTCCGTCAAATGTAAAGTAATACTGAGGTCGAGAATGGATGTAAACACAAACCGACATCACGGACCTACGATGCGTTCTCTAGGCCGCGAAAGTGGGTGGAGATTCTGCACCATTTGGAGGTTCAGTAATATTTAATTCGGTGGTTTCCTTCTTCAAAAGGTGATGACTCACAGGCTGCTACTGCTTTACGTATTACTATTTATGCGATAGGAAAATATTTTTGGTTAGGTGTTTTCAGAACTATGTTAACAAAAAATTTAAAAAAATGAATTTTGACAAGCTATAACTCTGAAAATATTACGATTTCGAATTTTTGTTAAATGTTATTTTATCATGTTGAATCATCCCTCCATATGTATATTAGTCAACCATTGATCAGCGGACACGTAAATTATAGTCGATATCTGCGAAACTTGTTGTGTTGCACTCCTACTCCTGCACGCCATAGTAGGCCTTGAATAGTGTAATCATGTTAAGGAGATAAGAAAAACCCCGAAAGATGTTTATTGTCTGGCAAAGAGGTTCGGGTTCGTGTATTTGCATTAAATTGCCTGACTAGAATGTGGCCTAAGGTTTATCTCGTTCGTTTCCAATTTTGAAATCGTTTAGTGTATCTAGTAAGCGGATATTAAGGGTCCGAAATCAGTATTGGAATGTTTATAACGTTCGTTTATGATCGCAGTAAAAGATATATACTCAAGCCGGATTTATAGCATTGTACAGGCTGCATGTTTTTATTTGTTTGTATTATCAGTAAAGAAGTGTTTTCTGGCTTCACGCGTAGTATAAAAGTGTGTTCGACATGATTAGCACTGTTGCATTCAGATACGTAATGCATCTGGGTAAGTTAAGCATTACTAAATGAAGAATGGAAAAATTGACGGTTGCTTTGGGCGTATCCCACACCATGGCCCTTATGGCACTTTTTTGCAGAGAAAACGTTCAGTTCTATATCGATCCAGTGATTCCATCTAGCACATGGATACATATGGGTTACGTCTAGACGTTATGGTAATAAATATGGGAGATCGGTCTCAGAACTGATAGTCCACGGACAGCGTGGAAACTGAGATCAAAATCAAAACCACACTATTTTACAATTATTTATTTTAGACTTCTCCATTTAACAAAGTTTCTTCGTTTGTACATTTAGACGGTCATAATTACTTGGAAGTAAAAAAAAAATGACTAGAAATAAAATCAAACACACCTAATGTCGTGCATACGCCGCAACCAATTTCCCAAGTGGAACCAGATAGTATAATAATAATTCACTACGCGAAACACTTTTTTTGTCCACTACCCTCTACCATTTATTTTCAGGGAATCAGATTTTATCCTTTCATACAAATTTAATTAAGAAAAGTGAAGCTAGATTTTCTATACTTCGTCTCTGGTTTCAAATTGCAGTAAGCAAGGGTTTTGAATTGGTTGTCCAATAACTCAATCAATACATTGTTATTTTTCAGATTACCAGTATACATAACTTACTTACAATCTTATTGACGGAGTTGCCTCATTTTTAGTAGCGTAATAATTTGTAGTTCCGACAATCGCCATACAAGCGTTGTATTGCGTCAGATAGTTAACAGTAACAAGTTCATCTAATTCCTATTTTGTGTTACAATAATTCACGTTAATGGTGATATCTTTAAGTTAGACTTTAAACTACATTTTATCCAAACATGAGACGGCTCCGTCAATTAGTTTGCAAGTTATGGACAGTGGATACATTTTTTTGGATCCTTCTCCCTCTGTATTTGGTCTCACTTACCTGTTATCCATGAATTACAATATGATTCCACCTGACGAACTCGAATCTTTGTCCGACATTGGCTTAGCCATAATATGCGTCTCTATTTGGTTGTATAAATAGAGTCTCCCTCAAATTCAATATAACCAAATTGTCATTATTTAAAAAATATGTACAATGCTGTATAGCAAGTCGAAATAATTTTGGTAAATTACGCACATGTATTTCGACAACATCCAGTGCTCAAACGTATACGTTTCCCCCTTCATACGCTTTTTATTCAGATCTCTTAAATATTTAAACAAGAGTCTATGGTCTCTTGATCCACAAACACATACAGTGAGCTAAACACAAACATTTCCAGTTCCGAAAAACAAGTTCTGTGGAATATTCTTATGCCACTAGATGTCACTACAGTAACCTTATAAGCTTTGAAGGGCTATGGGGGTATAGGCTGGCCGTGGCTCGCTTTCCAATACCATTAAACTTGCAGGTATTGTTCTTTGAACAAGGAATTTTGAGATACGCGGCCAAGCCAATGCTATTTTATTCCCGGACTCTCGCACCACCTACCAGCGATGGAGTAAAAGTAACTAAAAGGCCTAAATCTGCTCGTCGGCAAAGTCTTTGACGGCCCTTTTCCTCCTGCCGTTGTTGTTGGTGGTATGGATGGAGCCGCCCATTAGCGATGCTGACCTGACGGGTATCTGGTGGGTCGACATACGATTCTTGCGCGTCAGACTGATGTAAGTCGAAGAGGTGTTGTTCCTTTGCAATCCGGTGGTGCTGGTCTTACTTTCCAGGGCTGTAAAGAAAAACACACAGTTTAAAAGATGTTAATACAAGTAATGTATACTGTTGAACTGAGGTGGTTTTTACTTAATGAAAATCCATTTAACAAAATAAATAAGAAATAAAAAGTTCAGATTTTCACGAGATTTCGTGAAAATCTGAACTTTTAGTTATTATTTATTTTGTTAGTGTATACTGCATGTATAATACAAGATGTATATGTGGCATGTCAGTTTTTATAAGGTAGGACACTACCTTATCTCAAAAACTATAAGGGATGGAGCCAAAAGTTAAATACAAAAGTTAATTCGGGTATTACAAACTCTCAATTTAATTCATTAATGTTGTATATACAGGGTGTTTCATTTTTCGTGAGCGAGTATCACCTTATTTTAAATTTAACGCCTGGTATATTACTTCATTTTTGAATTCTATACAAAATTCTAGACATATTTTGTGCATAATGTCCCATAACTAAGTCTAACTGTTTTTGACATTTTTAATTTTTTATGTGAAAAATGACGTTTGCCAGGCGTTGCTAATTTCTTTATTCGGAAGCATTTATTGTTTCACTCGAGTAAGTTTTGTTGTCGAGAAAGAACATAATAGGGCATAATAGGAAACTACCCATTTTTATCATCTGGTCATATTTGGCATTAAAAATTAACGCAATTTTATATAAAGTTGTATTATGCCTAATAGGGTGCTTAAAAATATATATATATATTTTTTAGCTGTTACCCTATCCAATGTTTCTTTTGTTTTCATTTAATTAATATGGGAAAAAATCTTTTTTCACAAAAATTACATTTACGTATAATGTTCGCGATTTTTTACAAAAAACCAATTTATATTGTTAAAGTTGAGTCTTTAAGCTTTCCAAAACCGTATAACAAAGTTTGATTATCAATAAAAGAAGATTAGTTACAGCCATTAAAAAATTGCAAAATTTTGACCTTTTCAGAAATAGCTTCTAATAATTTTTGTAAAAATTTTTTAATTAATTAAATGGTAAACTAAAATAAAAATAGCGACCCCTTAGAGTTGAGCTACGGGGCTCATCTTAAGAGCTAAAAAAAATATATATTTTTTCTGAAGCCTCCTAATGCCTAATATTTTTTCTTTTTAAAATATTTCCTTTTAAACATTTATTACAAATAGTAAAGCCGTTGCATATAAGTTCAGTTAGTGTAGGCATATACAACTTTATATCAAATTATATTATTTAAAAAAAAAGTTTTTTTGCATTTTTTGTAAATTTCATTTTTAATCTTATTTTTCGCGTTGCATGTATTATTATGCATCGAAATTTCTTATGAAATCCGTTATTCGAGTGCTTTGTCTACAACAAAACGGACTCAAGTGAAACAATAAATGCTTCCGAATGAAGAAATTGGCAACGTTTTGCAAACATAATTTGTCGCATAAAAAATTGAAAATGTCAAAAACGGTTAGACTTAGTAACAGGGCATTATGCACAAAATATGTCTAGAATTGTGTATAGAATTCAAAAATGAAGTAATATACCAGGCGTTAAATTTAAAGTATGAAAGGTGATACTCGCCTACGAAAAATGAAACACTCTGTATATAGAACATTAAAATAAATTGAAGCTTTGGAGTGCCCCAATTTACTTTTGTATTTAACTTTTGGTTCCATTCCCTACAGGTTCTGAGATAAAGTAGTGCCAAAATAAACGGCTCACTCTTTACAAATAAACATAGGTACATGAAAAACAACAGAAATATTGTCTTTCGGTTTTTGGTTTTTCCTAAATAACTTTCGAAACGTTGGAGCCACAAAATTGAAATTTGCCTTCTTTTTAATCTTCCACAAGCTTGTAAGAAATGGCCTCGATCCGACGCCGGCATCCATCTTTTTTTCGCGATTTTCGACTGTTTTTTGAACATTGCTTTGAAACACGATAAGTGTTCGAAATTTGAAGCACTCGACTTCGTATTTGGCACATATATGCAGTTTTGTCCTGTGACGTAACCTATTGAAAATGGTTGGCTGGGGGGTCGGGAAGTATTTTAAAAAAATTAAAAATCGCGTGTGCAAGGGTCTACAAAAAACACCATTTTTCAAAAACCGTTTACAAGACTGAAAAAATTCTTGAACTAGAAAACGCAGTGGATACGGCTCCATAAACTTTTATTCCTGACAATTCTAAAAAATATTATTGACATTAGCAATAATTTCAAATCTGTGTTTTAGATGTCAGTTTCTTTTACATGAAGATATAGCGCATATAGACAGCTAAAACTTTTGTATTTAAGGTTTTTAAGTATTATACACGGTGTTCACGATATTCCGTGCAATATTAAAAAACATAATAAATGCCCCAAATTTGCAGCTACCGGCTTCAGACTTGGAAGAAAAGTAAAAGTCTGGACCCGCATTTAGACTCTTTAAATTGGGAGCAATAAAATAACGCGAAGTAGATTTTTTTAATTTTGGATTTTTTTTTGGGTTATTTTGGCATTCAGAAAAACATCTTTTCCTTCAAAACCATTAATGCACGAAGCACCTTACTTTTAAAATAAAAAGCTGATTCGCTCTACGCCCTAAGAACTTGTCCCGCCCAGCAACGATTTTTCGAAAGCAATCCTTGTATGCTTAGAATGTGCGTCACCAACAAACTTAAACTTCAATAAATTGTTAAAGACATACAATGACATTTCAAAAATCAACAGACTCGCCAGTGTGATAATTCTGTACTGGGCAAATAAACCCCTACAAGAGGTAAACTTGGAAATGTGGCAATACTCCTTAATATACGTTTTTACCCCAAAAATTCTTTATCGGCATTTACAGATGGTCCCCACAAATTGATCCCATAAAGTAATCCGGATTCCACCTTCGGATAGTATAAATTAAGCAACTGTTGCATACTTAAAATCTCACCAAGATTTAGAAAAAGAGAGTTTACACTATTTCGAGTTGAAATAAAAGTATCACAGTCACACTTCCAGTTTAAGCATTCATCCAAATTGAATCTGAGAAACCTCACTGTATCCCCACTTGCGATAGTGTCAGTTTCAAAACAGATATTAAATTTATCACATTGTTTTTTATAATTATGAAACCTTATAAAATCAATCTATCGAGTACACCCCAGCACTTTTCTGCGAGGTCATCGTCATTTGCACACGATAGCACTAAGAAAAGATCATCGGCATACATCACAAAGAACGTATCAGGTAAAATTTTCAATATTAAATTTACATACAATATGAAGAGTACAAGGCCTAACACTGAACCTTGAGGAATACCCATCTTTATATACAAATTTGAAAACGATCTTCTAAAAAACCATTGATCAGTCCCTTATTCCCGAAGCGTGCAGAGTTTCTCCTAGTTATTATGCCATCGTATCCAAAAGATTTTTTGTTGTTTAATGAACATTAACATCCCTAATAGGACTAAGGCTTTGCTATACTTTTGTTATTCAACTGAATGGAACTAACAATATTTTTGGGAGCATCTATAAAATAGTTATTAAATACAGACGCCACAATATTTTTTTATTCTGCTTATTCATTAAATTAAAATTCTCAACACTGTACCGACGATCATTCGACAACTCCGAAATCACCCTCCAAGCAGCGCTATAAGCATCGAAAGAATCAAAATTTTGTCGCTGATAGAAAGCTTTTTTAGTTTCAGAAACTAATTTTTTCACAATCCACCGTTCAAGAGGGTCTCAAGGTTTCTCATTTTAAGTGTGGGATTATACGTACTCACTGGATTTTAATTCACCTTGATGGCGGAAGGCGAAATACCTTTGAGCTCTCATTAAAGTCAATTTGTCACGAGCGGAGCGAGTGTTTAATAAAACAAAATAAATAAAATTGGGTATTTTACAGACGGGAGTAGAAAAATGAATTATATGACATAAGACATTTCAGACATAATGTCTAGACCTCTCTAAGCTACGTCCAAAATTTTTAACTTTCTGCTGTCGCCAGTTTCGTAGTAATAAAAATTTAAATGAAGCTACGCTTTGGTAGAATTATCTAATAACAAGTGTCTCATTTGAAATTCGAATGTTGATGGTACTTTTTCCAACAAGGAGCAACGTCGCAGCGTTAAAAATAGTTTCGATAGATAGAGGGTCGCCGATTATGGAACTAACCAAACTACCAATAATTTGTGTTCGGTTACGCAACAAATTTGTGTATAAATTTGTTGGTACCAATCTGTAATTCCAAGATCACTCTGGTTCCCCGAATCCGAAGTAAAATGACCGTAATCATGCCCTGACTTACCCCAAATTTCCTTGTGAAGGATGTGCTGGGTTGAAGGGAATGCGCTGCACGGTTCTACCGGAGGGTTCGACTCTTGAGGGTGTTGCACACTGCTTTTCAAAACAGGTGCTCAAATTTCCGACTCGCAACGCGCAATTCTCGATTCTGGCACGGCCGCTCGCGAAGTGCCGGAGGCAGGTAAAAATGGAGTAACAAAAAATGTATATATAAAAGAAGGAAAGGTTTCCCGGGAATAAAGGAGGGAGAACAAGACGGAGTATACAGTTGTCAAGGCATGTATATACGCACAAAATAATAATAATTAAACTATATCCCGAAACCCAAACAACTACTAATGGATTATATTCTGTAACATAGCTACGAAAACTTTCAGTTCATTCTAGAGTGGACTGCGTTAATAATATTATAGTTATGAAATTTGGATCATAATAGCAGTACGGTGTTGTTGGTGATCCCAAATAAGTCCGGATTGATCCAAAAAGACTTTCATTTATTGTTTCCACACACTGGCTAAACGAGTAATCCATGAGGTGTCTAAGTGAAATAAAAACAATGGAAGTTTGATGTTTTTTTTCTAATTTTAGCACTCAAACATGAACGCCCACATCCGCATTTTAAAATTAAATAAATATTCAGTTTGAATATTTAATTTTTTAATGATTAAAAATTTTAATTTATGTAACTGAAATGAGAGTGTCATCCGCAAATAACTAATCAGTTATTATTTACGTAATCTGCTGCC